AGGATTTTCTTCTCCTTAAAAAAATCTCAAAAGAGCTAGGAGGCAGCAATTACGGAATAATAATTTTGAGGTATAGCAAGAAAGTTTCAGAACAAAGTTTCAGATGGTTTCTGTGCAGCTGAAGGAACCACATCTGTTATCTTACCCCAAATGTGACTGTTGATTCCAGGAATGCTCGAGTGTTCTCAGTTTCTGTTGTAAACGGTATATGCAGAGCTGCTTTTTTTTTTCCAGCCTACAGGTGGTTGCTGAAAGTTTGCTGTTGGTAAGTCATTTTCTTTAGTACCTCAGTACAGATTCTTCTATTTTTAGCCTTGTTTTCTAGGGATATAAGGCACATGCAGTTACGCTATTAGTTTCTCAGTCCTCTATAAGCAACTTTCGAACTGGTTAGCTAATTTCATGCAAATTTGAGTGAAGGATAGAAGGCCTCAATGATACCGAGTTCCTTTCAGAGTTGTGAAAGTTGGCAGCTAGGTAGAGAGCGAACCTATTAACTCCCCAACCGAGGCAAAGGCAGGGGGAGTTCAGCCTCGATCCATTTGGTCTGGCAGAAAGCAGCGGGCCAGTTAGGGCCTGTGTGATGGCTGGCGGATCTGCGTGTGCCTGGCAGATGCTGGGGCGGGTCTGCAGCTGGCTTGTGCGCTGGGGTTGGGGGAAAGAGGAACTCTGTTCCGCAAGACTTGGGGAAGACTTATGGTTAGTGCTGGGAAAAGACGAGGGGGAGGCAGGCTGAGCTGCAGAGCGCTGCAGGGAAAGGGCGCGAATCTGTATGACGCTGGCTTTCATTAATTCCACAGCTTATGGAACAACCTGTTTAAAAAAAGATACTATCAATTTGTTGGAATAAGGAACATAAGACATTATGTTTCCCCACACACGCACTTCTCAGTAGTCATTCGATTCTCAATTTGGATGTGGTCCCCTGGCTGTGCATATACATTTCCTTCTCTCTCTGTGAAAAGGACCATAACCTAATATCCCTCCTTTCTCTTATGTGAATATTTCCATAAAAATAATGATACTGAGATGTCCTGGCCTGACAGCTGCCAGAGCTAAAGCACTCTTTATTTATCCAGTTGTAACTACAGCAGTGACTTTATGAGGCCAGGTTTATTATACTCTTAGTTTGCAGAAACTCCCTTAATTATTTATCAAAAGCCTTGCATGTGTAAACAGTAGCTTGTTTTTGTAGCCAGGTCCAAGCATCTTTACAAAATGCAACAGTTGACTGCACAGGCTAATTTTTGTCTCCTCGATCTAATATTTCAGACACGCTTGTCACTACTCTTACTTCTTTTTAGCCTCCATAGTTAGTATAATGTGGTCTTTTGCCAGTTGTTTTTGCTAAAAGGAGATAATGAGTATAATTATGATTGCTTCTTTTATGCCATGTGGTTTGTTAATAAAAATTACACAAAATAATTTTTCCCTAAACACAGTAAAAAACAAATTTTTTTTTTCATTATTTCTTTCATTATCCACCCCAAGACTCATTCAAAAGAGTTTTACTTCGAAAAATCTGCAGACCTTCTTTCTGAGCTAAGCTACCAAGCCTTTCCCTATCCTCTCCGGTTCTCTTGCTTCTTTCGCTGTCTTTTTTGGCTCCTTCTGATCAGGTACCAGGATTCCTCTGAGATTTTCCTCAGCAGTGAATGTTCTTCTGGCAGGGCTATTTTAATCTCAAATAGCTAACTGATTCAGTTGCCCATGGCCTCTTAGAGACAGGAAAGGCAGAGAAACGAGCAGCACAAGGAAGAATGTGAGCTGCTTTAGTAAACTTAGCCACTGAAAACAAGGCTCAAACTACAGACGTGCCTAGAACAACCAAAGACCAAGGCCCCACGCCTTTTCAGATGGCAAGGAACCTCTTTACAATTCATTTTCTACGTTGCTCTGACAAGCTTGGTCTATGAGACAAGGTAACAGTATCCCTCGTTTTCCTTCACTGCTAAATACAAAGAAGTTCAGCTTCTCCACCATTTAGACTGAGTGGAAGAGAGATAACGTGCTCATTAGCCTCAGTGAAGCTTGATACTCTCCACTGATCAGAAGGCAATTCCCTCTGAACAGCACGTTCTCCTGGATCCCACTCATGGCAACAGAGAACAGTCACGAGAGCAAAAAGGCTGGTATTTTCTAGAGAAAACAAAATATCCATGATAAGTAAAAGAATCTGAGATGTATTTTTTTCTACACTGAATGTCTTATCACTTGTTCTTGAAAACACGTAACATGCGAGAAGTTTTTTCCACTGGATTGAGAAAGAGGTCTGCATTGTATTCACGGTAACGGCATTCAGCTGGCCAGGCACTCAAACACATTACTTTAGAAAGATAAAATGGTGTTTTCCATTAACTCAATCCCTTTCTGCTCAAGGCAAATAAGTCTAATGGTTTCCACTCCACTTTTCAAAATTGCTTTTCAAAACATCCTCCTCAGCAGCATCTCGCTCTCCGCCGACACCCACGCTCAGCCACGATGTCGGGTGATGACCCAGCTGATATTATTTCCAAAGTTTCCTGGTCTCATTTCTCCATCCAACCTGCGCTCCTGGCTCAATTTCCCTCTTGATAAAAGAGATTATCATTAGACATGTACTTTGCCAAGGAGTGCCTTTGCTCTTTGCTTTCTCTACTCCTGAGTTCCTCCTCTAGTCATCACCTGCTGCATTTTGCTGTTGCACTCATTCCTGTCATTTAGCCTTCTTTTGATATCTAATCTACATGCAGTGATAATGATTTTCCTTCAGACATTTCCTCCTGACCACCTTCTTCCCTTCTTTCACTGATACCTTTATTTCTCTTCATGTTTTACTGGGCTCTTGTTTTCTTTGTTGTTCTCATCTCTTCTTTTGTTCTCATTTCTGGGAGTTCTTCTGATCATTCTTCATTAAACCACATTTTACTCAGTCACTAGTCTGGCTCATTCTCGATATCCACTTCTATTTTCATGCTGAAATACATCCCTGCAAACATTTCTGCCACTACAGAGTTGTTCTGTCCCCCTTCGGTACTTGCACATTCGTAGCCAAATATGTTCACTCTTCTATCAGTATTAAAAAAGCTCCTTTAGAGAGTCCACATACCTTCTAACCACCGCATCACTTCACAGCGTCCAAAGCAACGGGTGAATGCTTGTTAATCATTGTAATTCCATGAGATGGAAATTTGTGTTTGTAATAAACCCAACAATCCCTGTAGCTGCCAGGAAGAGCGGGAAAGATGGCTGGATATTTTTGTGAATCAGATTTACAGTCCTCTACCCACAGTCCCTTCCAATGCCGATTTATTTAAATGTCTGTACATAGCAGACTATGATACGTACAAACTTCATACCAGGGAAGAAAACAAAGGCTGGACAGCTGTTATGTCCAATAGGCAAATTGAAAAGTAAAGGCATCTCTATTCCCAAAAGTGCTTTTTAAAAAAAGAAATTACACGTTGGTCTTCAGTACTTACCATTGTAGTAAAATGATGAGCTTTTCTGATATTTGAAACTTGTTTTATAGCCTCCAGCTCCCAAAATTAAGAGAATTCTTGTTTTTGTTAAAATTAATCGTTCTGAAACAAAACTGTCCTCCTACAGGTTCATGTCCCACTGCCCTGAAATACAGCTCTGTCCTCGCCACTGCAATGGCAGCACATGCCCCTGCCAAACAGCCCAGAGACGGGCTGAGCTGAGTTAACATTTCCTCAGCAGAGACATTAATAGTGTCTCTCTCCCACATTCTGTGCAGCTGATGATTGTCATGAAATGTGTAGGGAATTCATGTATTTGAACTCTTACTTCTGTGTCAATATTGGCTGGAATCCACCAACTGGCTCAGAAGTTATTGCAGATGGGCTGACGGGCAACTCGTGTGGCAGTGCAAGCCCCATTTCCTTAGGAAATCTCACTAAAATCAAAACCCCTCCAAGCTCCTACCTGTCAAGATTTGGAAGAAGAGCTTTGAAATATGATAAAGTGCATCCTATGGGCTTATGTACCAGAGAGCAGATTTAGAGGTGTTAACGTTTGAGATAAAAATAAATCCATGACCTAGGCAGACTCATTGATGTGTTGGGATTTGGCAATAGTATAATTATGAGCTATTTTTTTCTATGAGGTGATTCAGCTCCTACTGGTATTTTTCAGTTGTGCTTTTTGATTTTTAGCACTTTGCAGGCGAAAGCCTGGTGCTGAGGGATGCAGAAGAGACACCCGTCTCCCATCCTTTCTCCAAAGTTTAAAAAAAAGAGTATTTACGAGCATTAGTACCCTGTCTGTGAAAAAAACTGTTGTGTCTAAAAAGGGTGCAGGGCACTGAAATGAACCCTTCAGCAGCCTGCTGCTCCCTCTGACCCCTCCACCTCCACCGCTTCCCTGGGTCGCAGACTTCAGCTTAACTTTAACCACTGTATGGGCATTTCTTGAAAACATGCGAACTCCATTACGCATAGTTTTCGGTGCCTGCTGTGGGAAACTATGGCTCTCAAAGGAGCCAAAAGCAGAGGTTGTTTTTAAAAGTGTTTCTGCGGTAAAGGATGCTGGGCCAGTTGGTGAAACAAAGAGGAGACACCCCCCGCCATTTTCATACCACAGTATCAGAGAGGATTAAGGCATGGGCTGCGCCTCCCCCAGCAGGGGCAGGAAGCCGAGGCATAACATCTCCCAAGCCGAGGCTTTTTGCCCACAAAAACGTGAAAATTAATACTCTACCAAACACCAATCTTTCCCATAACCTTTGAGAAGCAACTTCCTCCTCTCAGCTGTAAGCTGTTGTGATACTTTCCCCCCACCTCCCTGTAACCTTTCGTTGGTTCTTTTGGCTGTGGGTGGGGTACGTCCCTTTGTGTTTGTTTCTCGCCCGGCTCCCTCCGAGCGCGGAGGGCGGGACGGCGGCGACAGCTCCCCTCAGCCCCGGAAAAGCTTTTCCCGCCCTTTTCCTGAAGCGGCCGTTGTGGCCGTCTGCGG